TTGTGAGGTTTGGCGAGTTGAGGTGTGGTGCGATGTGTGGTGAGGCTTGGCGAGGTGTTTGGAGGTGAGGCGTGATAAGGGTTGGTGAGGGGCGGAGTGAAAGGAGGAGTGATGAGGCTAGACGAGACATGGTGAGGCGAGGTGTGGTGAGGTGATGTGTCGTGTGCAGCGTATGAAATTCACAGACTTTGGTGGGGGTGAAACCAAAGACCTTTATTTAGAATTAAACACAATTTATATAGCTTCCCACCCCAGAGCACTTCCCTCCCCTGCCAGTGCAACACGCGAAGCCCGGCAACCCAACTAACCAGATGATCACGTGCTGACCAAGCATGAGGCCGTCGAATGAGCTTCCTGGTCATGCGCTGCATCGATAGGCGGGGCAAAGCGTGGCATGCTGAAGGATTGGCGATGCGTGGCTTGGCGAGGCATGGCAAAGCAAGGTGTGATGAGGCTTGGTGAGATGTGGTGTGGTGAGGTGTGTTGAGCCTAGGTGTGGTGACGCAAGGCAAGGCTTGGTGAGGTGTGATGTGGCGAGGTGAGGCATGTTGAGGCTAGGTGAAGTGTGGTGACGTGAGGCGAGGCTTGGTGAGGTGTGGCAATGTGAGGTGTGGTGAGGCGTGGCTAGGTGTGGCATGCTGAAGGATTGGCGATGTGTGGCGTGGTGAGGATTTGCGAGGCATGGCCAGGTAAGGTGTGGTAAGGCATGACGAGGCGTGACAATATTTGGCCAGGTGGGGCTTGGGTGATGTGAGGTGTAGCGAGGCATGGTGAGGCATTGTGAGGCTTGGAGAGGTGTGGCAAGGTGTAGCGAGGTGTGGCGAGTAGAGGCATGGCAAGGTGTCATGAAACGTGATGAGGCGTTGCCAGGTGAGGCGAGACTAGGAGAGGCTTGGTGAGTCTTGGCGAGGCGAGGCGTGGTGAAATGTGGTGAGGCTTGGTGAGGCATTGCTATGCATGGCGAGGTGAGCCTTGCTGAGGCATGGTGAGGCTTTCCAAGTTGAGGCGTGATGAGGCATGGTGCGGCTTCACGAGGTGTGGTGAAGTATGGCGAGGCATGGTGAGATGAGGCTGGGTGTTGTGAGGGCTGACGAGTCGAGGCATGCTGAGGTGTGGCAAGAGTTGGTGTTTGGAGGTGAGGTGCAATGTTTGGAGATTTGGAGGTGAGGTGTGGTAAGGGTTGGTGAGTGATGTGGTGAGGCTTGGCGAGACATTGCAAGGCGTGCTGAGGTGTGGTTTGGTGAGGTGTAACAAGACATGGTGAGGCTTAGCGTAACGTGGTGACACATGGTGAGGCTTGACATGGTGTTTGGAGATGAGATGTTTGGTGTGGTAAGACAGATGAGGTGTGCAGTGGTGAGGTATAACGTGGTGAGGCTTTGGGAGTCAAGGCTCGGTGATGCAGGGGGAGGTTTGATGAGGCGAGCTATGGTGATGCTTGGCGAGGCATGGTTTCAAGTGGTTTGAGGAGGTGTGGCTAGGCTGGGTGTGGTGAGGCTTGGGAAGGCATGGTATGGTGAGACAGGATGAGGGGATGCTTTGTGAGGCTTGGTGATGTGTGTCATGGTGAGTCAAGGCAAGGCAAGGCATGGTGAGGTGTAGTGAGATGTGGTATGAAAAGGTGTGGTGAGGTGAGGTGTGCCTTTTTGAGGGTTGGTGAGCTGTGGTGTGGTGAGGTGAGACATGGGAGGCAAGGCTTGGCGGGGTGAGTCTTAGTAAGACTTGGTGAGGCGTGGCATGGCGAAGGTCGTCAAGGCAAGCTGAGTTGTTGTCAGGCGTGGCGAGTGGTCGTCAGGCGTGGCGTTGCAAGTCTTCGTGAGGCGAAGCGAGTGGTCGTGAGGCGTGGCATGCCAAGTCTTCATGAGGCGAGGCGAGTGGTCATCAGGCGTGGCGTTGCAAGTCTTCGTGAGGCGAAGCGAGTGGTCGTGAGGCGTGGCATGCCAAGTCTTCATGAGGCGAGGCGAGTGGTCATCAGGCGTGGCGTTGCAAGTCTTCGTGAGGCGAAGCGAGTGGTCGTGAGGCGTGGCATGCCAAGTCTTCATGAGGCGAGGCGAGTGGTCATCAGGCGTGGCGTTGCAAGTCTTCGTGAGGTGAGGCGAGTGGTCATCTGGCATGGCGTGGCTAGTCTTGGTGAGGCGAGGCGAGTGGTCGTCTGGCATGGCGTGGCTAGTCTTCGTGAGGCGAGGCGAGTGGTCGTCTGGCATGGCGTGGCTAGTCTTCGTGAGGCAAGCTGTAGGGAGGCGAGTGGTAGTCAAGACTGGCATGGGGAGTCTTCATGAGTAGAGGTGAGCGGTCGTCAGGCATTGCGCAGCGAGTCTTTGTGAGGCGAGGTGTGGTGAGGCGAGTGGTCGTCTAGAGTGGCGAATCTTCATGACCAGGGGTGTGGCGAGGCGAGTGGTCGTCAGGCGTGGCATGGCAAGTCTTCGTGAGGTGAGGCGAGTCTTCGTGAGGCAAGATGTGGCAAGGCGAGTGGTCATCAAGCGTGGTGTGGTGACTTTTCGTGAGGAAAGGTGTGGCGAGGCGTGTGGTGGTCAGGCGTGGCATGGCGAGTCACCATGAGGTGAGGCAAGTGGTCGTCAAGTATGGCGTGGCGAGTCTTTGTGAGGCAAGGCGTGGCAAGGCGAGTGGTCGTCTAGCATAGCGTGGCGAGTTTTCATGAGGCGAGGCGAGTCTTCGTGAGGCGAGAAGTGGTGAAGAGAGTGATCATCAGGCGTGGAGTGGCGAATCTTTGTGAGGCGAGGCGACTGGCGGTCAGGCGTGGCGAGTCTTCGTGAGGCGAGGTGAGTGGTCGTGAAGCATGGCGTGGTGAGTTTTAGCATGGATGCTTATGCAGATGCTTAGCGTGGCTATGCGAGGGGATGCTAGATGATGCATTGTGACGCACAGGAATGCGAGGTGAGGCTAAGTGACGCGTGGTAACATGTGGCGACGCAAGAGGAGTACAGGTGATGCAAGGGGAGGCATTGCAACATACGGGGAGGCTGGGTGGCGCATGGTGACACATGGCGATGCATGGTGACGCACAGCGATGCAAGGGGAGGCTAAGTTACGCATGGTGGCACGTGGCCACGCAAGGGGAGGCTGGAGAGGCTAGGTGACGCGTGGCGATGCATACACACACACGGGAAACTAAGCGGCGCATGGGACCCATAGCGACGAAAGGAGAGGCTAAGCGGCGCGGGGTGGCACCTGGCAACACAAGGAGACGCTAAGTGACGCGTGATGGTGCATGACGACGCAAGGGGAGGCTAAATGGCGCATGGTGGCGCACAGAGGCGCGAGGGGAGGGTTAGCGGCGCGTGGCGGCACCTGGCAACGTGAGGAGAGGGTAAGAGACAAATGAGAATGCATAGCGAAGCGAGGGGAGGCCAGGGGACACGTGGCAACGCAAGCTCGGCCATCGAGCAGTGACGCAGCACATGGAGACCCCCTGAGGGGGGCGGGGCGCGAATTGCCCCTCCCGCTACTCACGCCCTGTCGCTCGTCACCCTCGGCTCCTCATGAGGCAAGGCGAATGGTCGTCAGGTGTGGCGAGGCGAGTCTTAGTGAGGCGAGGCATGGCGAGGCGAGTGGTTGTCAGATGTGGCGTGACGAGTCGTTGTCAGGCGTGGCGTGGCGAGTCTTCGTGAGATGAGGGGTGGCGAGGTGAGTGGTTGTGAGGCGTGGCGTGGCGAGTCTTCGTGAGATGAGGTGTGGCGAGGTGCGTGCTTGTCAGGGATGGCGTGGTGAGTATTCATGAGGCAAGGGCAGGGGGTGTGAGGTGTGGTGTGGCAAGTCTTCGTGAGGTAAGGTGAGTGGCTGTGAGGCGTTGCGTGGCTAGTCTTCATGAGGCGAGGCAAGTGGGCATCGGTGTGGCGTGGCGAGTCTTCGTGAGGCGAGGGCAGGGGGTGTGAGGCATGGCGTGGCAAGTCTTCGTGAGGGGAAGTGAGTGGTTGTCAGGCATTGTGTGGCGAGTCTTCGTGAGGCGAGGGCAGGGGGAGTGAGGCATGGCGTGGCGAGTCTTCGTGAGGCGAGGGCAGGGGGAGTGAGGCATGGCGTGGCGAGTCTTCGTGAGGCGAGGGCAGGGGGAGTGAGGCATGGCGTGGCAAGTCTTCGTGAGGGGAAGTGAGTGGTTGTCAGGCATTGTGTGGCGAGTCTTCGTGAGGCGAGGCGAGTGGGTGTCAGGCGTGGTGGGGTGAGTCTTCGTGGGGCGAGGTGTGCCGAGGTGAGTGGTGGTCAGGGATGGCGTGGCGAGTCTTCGTGAGGCGAGGGCAGGGGGTGTCAGGTGTGTCGTGGCGAGTCCTCGTGAGGAGAGGGGTGGCAAGGTGAGTGGTTGTGAGGCGTGGTGTGGCAAGTCTTCGTGAGGCGAGGTGTGGCGAGGCGAGTGGGCATCCAGCGTGGTGTGGTGAGTCTTTGCGGGGTGAGGTGTGGCAAGGGGAGTGCTGGTCAGGGGAGGCATGGCGAGTCTTCGTGAGGCAAGGTGTGGCGAGGTGAGTGGTTGTCAGGTGTTGCGTGGGGAGTCTTTGTGAGATGAGGTGTGGCGTGGTGCATGCTTGTCAGGGGTGGCGTGGCGAGTCTTCGTGAGGCAAGGGCAGAGGGTGTCAGGTGTGTCGTGGCGAGTTGTCATGAGGCAAGGGCTGGCGAGGTGAGTGGTAGTCAGGGGTGGTGTGGCGAGTCTTTGTGAGATGAGGTGTGGCGTGGTGCATGCTTGTCAGGGGTGGCGTGGTGAATCTTCCTGAGGCAAGGGCAGGGGGGGTCAGGCATGGCGTGGCGAGTCTTCGTGAGGCAAGGGCAGAGGGCGTCAGGTGTGTCGTGGCGAGTTGTCATGAGGCAAGGGCTGGCGAGGGGAGTGGTAGTCAGGGGGGGTGTGGCGAGTCTTTGTGACGGGAGGGGGGGAGAGGCAAGTGGTTGTCAGGCGTGGCGTGGCGAGGGTTTGTGAGATGAGGGGTGGCGGGGTGCGTGCTTGTCAGGGGTGGCGTGGCGAGTCTTCGTGAGGCGAGGTGTGGCGAGGTGAGTGCTGGTCAGGGGTGGTGTGGCGAGTCTTTGTGACGGGAGGTGTGGAGAGGCAAGTGGTTGTCAGGCGTGGCGTGGCGAGGGTTTGTGAGATGAGGGGTGGCGAGTTGAGGGTTGGTCAGAGGTGGCGTGGCGAGTCTTCGTGAGGCAAGGGCAGGGGGGGTCAGGGGTGGCGTGGCGAGTCTTCGTGAGGCAAGGGCAGGGGGGGTCAGGGGTGGCGTGGCGAGTCTTCGTGAGGCAAGGGCAGGGGGGGTCAGGGGTGGCGTGGCGAGTCTTCGTGAGGCAAGGGCAGGGGGGGTCAGGGGTGGCGTGGCGAGTCTTCGTGAGGCAAGGGCAGGGGGGGTCAGGGGTGGCGTGGCGAGTCTTCGTGAGGCAAGGGCAGGGGGGGTCAGGGGTGGCGTGGCGAGTCTTCGTGAGGCAAGGGCAGGGGGGGTCAGGGGTGGCGTGGCGAGTCTTCGTGAGGCAAGGGCAGGGGGGGTCAGGGGTGGCGTGGCGAGTCTTCGTGAGGCAAGGGCAGGGGGGGTCAGGGGTGGCGTGGCGAGTCTTCGTGAGGCAAGGGCAGGGGGGGTCAGGGGTGGCGTGGCGAGTCTTCGTGAGGCAAGGGCAGGGGGGGTCAGGGGTGGCGTGGCGAGTCTTCGTGAGGCAAGGGCAGGGGGGGTCAGGGGTGGCGTGGCGAGTCTTCGTGAGGCAAGGGCAGGGGGGGTCAGGGGTGGCGTGGCGAGTCTTCGTGAGGCAAGGGCAGGGGGGGTCAGGGGTGGCGTGGCGAGTCTTCGTGAGGCAAGGGCAGGGGGGGTCAGGGGTGGCGTGGCGAGTCTTCGTGAGGCAAGGGCAGGGGGGGTCAGGGGTGGCGTGGCGAGTCTTCGTGAGGCAAGGGCAGGGGGGGTCAGGGGTGGCGTGGCGAGTCTTCGTGAGGCAAGGGCAGGGGGGGTCAGGGGTGGCGTGGCGAGTCTTCGTGAGGCAAGGGCAGGGGGGGTGAGGCGTGGCGTGGCGAGTGTTTGTGAGATGAGGTGTGGCGAGTTGAGTGTTGGTCAGAGGTGGCGTGGCGAGACTTCTTCAGGCAAGGGCAGGGGGTGTGAGGCGTGGCGTGGCGAGTCTTCATGATGGGAGGTGAGTGGTTGTGAGGACTTGCGTGGCGAGTATTCGTGAAGTGAGGGGTGGTGGGGCGAGTGGGCGTCAGGCGTGGTGTGGCGAGTCTTCGTGGGGCGAAGTGTGGTAAGGTGACTGCTGGTCAGGGTTGGTGTGGCGAGTCTTCTTATGGCGAGGGCAGGCCGTGTGAGGCTTGCCTGGTGGGTCTTCGTGAGGGGAAGTGAGTGCTTGTCAGGCGTTGCGTGGCGAGTCTTCGTTAGGCTAGGCGAGTGGGCGTCAGGTGTGGCGTGACGAGTCTTCGTGGGGCGAGGTGTGGCGAGGTGAGTGCTGGTCAGGGGTGGCGTGGCGAGTCTTCTTGAGGCGAGGGCAGGGGGTGTCAGGTGTGTCGTGGTGAGTCTTCGTGAGCAGAGGTGTGGCGAGCTGAGGGCTGGTCAGGGGTGGCGTGGCGAGTCTTCTTGAGGCGAGGGCAGGGGGTGTCAGGTGTGTCGTGGTGAGTCTTCGTGAGCAGAGGTGTGGCGAGCTGAGGGCTGGTCAGGGGTGGCGTGGCGAGTCTTCTTGAGGCGAGGGCAGGGGGTGTCAGGTGTGTCGTGGTGAGTCTTCGTGAGCAGAGGTGTGGCGAGCTGAGGGCTGGTCAGGGGTGGCGTGGCGAGTCTTCTTGAGGCGAGGGCAGGGGGTGTCAGGTGTGTCGTGGTGAGTCTTCGTGAGCAGAGGTGTGGCGAGCTGAGGGCTGGTCAGGGGTGGCGTGGCGAGTCTTCTTGAGGCGAGGGCAGGGGGTGTCAGGTGTGTCGTGGTGAGTCTTCGTGAGCAGAGGTGTGGCGAGCTGAGGGCTGGTCAGGGGTGGCGTGGCGAGTCTTCTTGAGGCGAGGGCAGGGGGTGTCAGGTGTGTCGTGGTGAGTCTTCGTGAGCAGAGGTGTGGCGAGCTGAGGGCTGGTCAGGGGTGGCGTGGCGAGTCTTCTTGAGGCGAGGGCAGGGGGTGTCAGGTGTGTCGTGGTGAGTCTTCGTGAGCAGAGGTGTGGCGAGCTGAGGGCTGGTCAGGGGTGGCGTGGCGAGTCTTCTTGAGGCGAGGGCAGGGGGTGTCAGGTGTGTCGTGGTGAGTCTTCGTGAGCAGAGGTGTGGCGAGCTGAGGGCTGGTCAGGGGTGGCGTGGCGAGTCTTCTTGAGGCGAGGGCAGGGGGTGTCAGGTGTGTCGTGGTGAGTCTTCGTGAGCAGAGGTGTGGCGAGCTGAGGGCTGGTCAGGGGTGGCGTGGCGAGTCTTCTTGAGGCGAGGGCAGGGGGTGTCAGGTGTGTCGTGGTGAGTCTTCGTGAGCAGAGGTGTGGCGAGCTGAGGGCTGGTCAGGGGTGGCGTGGCGAGTCTTCTTGAGGCGAGGGCAGGGGGTGTCAGGTGTGTCGTGGTGAGTCTTCGTGAGCAGAGGTGTGGCGAGCTGAGGGCTGGTCAGGGGTGGCGTGGCGAGTCTTCTTGAGGCGAGGGCAGGGGGTGTCAGGTGTGTCGTGGTGAGTCTTCGTGAGCAGAGGTGTGGCGAGCTGAGGGCTGGTCAGGGGTGGCGTGGCGAGTCTTCTTGAGGCGAGGGCAGGGGGTGTCAGGTGTGTCGTGGTGAGTCTTCGTGAGCAGAGGTGTGGCGAGCTGAGGGCTGGTCAGGGGTGGCGTGGCGAGTCTTCTTGAGGCGAGGGCAGGGGGTGTCAGGTGTGTCGTGGTGAGTCTTCGTGAGCAGAGGTGTGGCGAGCTGAGGGCTGGTCAGGGGTGGCGTGGCGAGTCTTCTTGAGGCGAGGGCAGGGGGTGTCAGGTGTGTCGTGGTGAGTCTTCGTGAGCAGAGGTGTGGCGAGCTGAGGGCTGGTCAGGGGTGGCGTGGCGAGTCTTCTTGAGGCGAGGGCAGGGGGTGTCAGGTGTGTCGTGGTGAGTCTTCGTGAGCAGAGGTGTGGCGAGCTGAGGGCTGGTCAGGGGTGGCGTGGCGAGTCTTCTTGAGGCGAGGGCAGGGGGTGTCAGGTGTGTCGTGGTGAGTCTTCGTGAGCAGAGGTGTGGCGAGCTGAGGGCTGGTCAGGGGTGGCGTGGCGAGTCTTCTTGAGGCGAGGGCAGGGGGTGTCAGGTGTGTCGTGGTGAGTCTTCGTGAGCAGAGGTGTGGCGAGCTGAGGGCTGGTCAGGGGTGGCGTGGCGAGTCTTCTTGAGGCGAGGGCAGGGGGTGTCAGGTGTGTCGTGGTGAGTCTTCGTGAGCAGAGGTGTGGCGAGCTGAGGGCTGGTCAGGGGTGGCGTGGCGAGTCTTCTTGAGGCGAGGGCAGGGGGTGTCAGGTGTGTCGTGGTGAGTCTTCGTGAGCAGAGGTGTGGCGAGCTGAGGGCTGGTCAGGGGTGGCGTGGCGAGTCTTCTTGAGGCGAGGGCAGGGGGTGTCAGGTGTGTCGTGGTGAGTCTTCGTGAGCAGAGGTGTGGCGAGCTGAGGGCTGGTCAGGGGTGGCGTGGCGAGTCTTCTTGAGGCGAGGGCAGGGGGTGTCAGGTGTGTCGTGGTGAGTCTTCGTGAGCAGAGGTGTGGCGAGCTGAGTGCTGGTCAGGGGTGGCGTGG